ATGAAGGGACATTAATGGAATAATACACTTTGTTGAGGGTTAATTTTGGAAGAATGAAATTATGCAATAAAATATTGCTTATGATCACATGTGGGATTATGTGTCCCTTTAGGTGGCATTTATATTAAATGAAGAGGACACCTAAGAAGGCTAGGTGTCAAGAATCAAGATGAAAAGGGACACATGGCAAATAGATTAAATGAATGGCTAAGATCAATCCACACATAAAAGATTGGGCTAGGATTTGAGCAAAATTTTATAAATACCTTCCCTCCCCATTTAGGCCAAGTTTTAGCCAACATAGAGAAAGGAGAGGGAGAGATCGAATTGAAGAGGAAGAAATAGAAGAGAAAGAGGAAGGAAAACCAAGCAAAATCAAGCTCTAAAACAAGATATATTTATAGTTTTTGATGTAGTTTTTCATTACCTTTGGTGTTGTTGAGCTTGGTTATGAGTTTTGATGAATTTTGGAAGCTTGAAACCCTAGGGTATGATACTTCCCAAAATTGATTGAGTAAGAACAATATGAAATTGATGTTAGAATAATATTTAAGGGCTTGAAAGGAGCAATAATCAAGTGATTTTATGATGATTTTGTAAGAAATCCAACTTCCCCTAACTTGGGTGAATTTCAGCCAAACCTAGGGTTCTTTCTAGGGTTGGATTTTAATGATTTTAATGCTCTCAATGAGTTTAGAATGAAAGATAAGAAAGTAAGTTTGGAAGCATTAGAATTGAAAATGAAATTTTTCCCTAAAACCCCTATAGTGTTTGGGCAATTTAAGTTGAAGGGGAAGGAGTTCGATTTTGTTTAATTTGATCTTGGAAATGAATTATACATGCAAAATTATGGTTGGATAGCATGTGGGATTAAATTTAGAAGGATTGGAAACCAAGCTCAAAAGTTAGAAGTTAATGTGATGTTAAAGATGATTAAGTATGAATGTGTTGATTTGGATTGTGATTGAGAATGCCTTCTTGAATTCTTGATAGGCATTAGGCATTGGCAAGAGAAGAGCTCCAAGAGCAAGGAAGGCAGGCAAGAGTTAGAACCTTTAACTTAATGTTAACTTGCTTTGTGTGTTGTTTGCTATTTAAGTTATGACATGAGGTGGCTGGGCTAGATATGTTATGATATGTGAAAATCCTTGTGTTTGATGCCTTGGTAATATGCACAATTAAGTTGTGAAATAGAAGACTCCCTGTCCATGACATGGTAATGAAATTATATACATGAGATGTCCATAGTGTATAAAATGATGCATGAGATGTGCATTGATGTATAGCATGACATGCATTGCATTGTTGATATTTTGTTATGGTATATTACTATTAAGATTTCTCCCAAAATCTCACCCCTTCCATGTTTAAATTATATCATCTATGTCACACCTCCTTTATTATCACATTATATATCAATTGAAACCATTAGGAACCATTATTCAGGCCTTAAGTATGAGAAAATTTCAATCTCACAATTTCCATTTTCCAGATTTCTATACACTATTCACAGCAATTTAGGCCAACTTTGAAAATTCATAACTAATTGTCAAAAAATCGAAATGGGATGGTTCCAAGTTCTATAGAAAGCACTTGACATGCTCTGTAGATAAAAAAAATACTCATTAGTATTCAGATCTCATACATCATTCTCAGATTTCGTTCAAAGTGGTACTGTTCATTTGGTCATTTTTCAATTTTTCAGGATTTATGCCCAACTTTGGAAGGGCATAACTTTATGTACAAAACACCAAATTTAATGAATTATTACTTGTTTTAAAACTAAAAATGAGATCTATACGTATGTCAAATTTTAGATCCAGATTCATCTAATTGCTCAAAATCAAGTTGGTCAAACTTTTGCTCCCAAAAGTCAACTTTTATCTCTTTTTCATACCATTTTTGCCTTTTCTCTTTCTTTTCGTTTCATCTAGCTTTTTCAATCATGCAACACATGCATAGATATAATTCCTTAGTCAATTATCTATAAATAGAGTATTGTAAATCATCAATACAATACTTTATCATCATTTACAATGATACATAACAACACATAATAATTTACAAATCATAACTTCAATGACATTTAGCTTAAACTCCTTCCAATATGACTTCTAATCCTTTTCTCCTTGCCCTTGGCAACACCACTTGAGGTTCCTATTATTGTTTATACATTGAGGGGGGTGAGAATTCATAGAAATCTCAATAGCAATGAATCATAATTATCATGTCAATCAAGCTCCACAAAATGTGACATGTTACAATGCATAATAATCAATTTCAAGACCATGAATACCACATTATTCTAGCAAGAAAATTAGTACATATTCACATTTTATATCAATGTGCATTTGGCCAAAGCATATCAAATATCAAAAAGTATTTCATACCACGATATAAATCAATCAATGCATAGAAACATAAAGTAAGCAACATATGCACATTAAGTAACCAAGAAAAACAATCAAATTAGACTCCAACCTACCTCTTTTATACTTGAACCAATTCAGCCTCTTCAATTGTTTTGAGTTCCTTCTTGTTCTCTTGCACAATGCCTATAAATTCATGCATAAACACATTCCAATTTATCAATGATTCAAGAATAAACACTAATGCTTGATATTAAACTCAATTAACCCCCCTTTTTTCTTGATTTTTAACATAATTATTCCCTCTTTGTTCCCATTCATCTCTTGGTTCATTCTTACACAATTTTTCATGTAGAATCCAAATATGAAATTAGATTTATAGAAATCAAACTCATTCCCCTTCAAGTTGAGTTGGCTGAATAGGGGGTACATACTTCCAAAAATTCTATTTTTGATTCCAATGATCTTAAACACTTCCCAATAATATATCCCTACACAAAAACATATTTTAAACCCATTGAAATCATCAAATCAAGCCAAAACAATTTGCTTTTGCATAAACAATGCTAGGCTGAAATGCACATATATAACCCTAAGTGGATTTTCTTCCAAAAACCAATCCATACACCACTTTATCTTGCTTATTCCACTTGGTATTTAAGGTTTTTATCCTTCTCTAAACCTTCCATGAACAGACCGAAATTTGGCAGCATCACACTTGAAATATTTGAGTCAAAACCCTTACTAACCAAGCTTGAAACTTAGGAATAGGGATGCTTAAACATACCTTAATGTTTCCTTGGTGTAAGTTGAGTGATTCCTTGTCTAAAACCCTTTAGATTTTTGATTGACTAGAGCTAGAGCTAAGGTGACAGAACCTTCCCTTGTTTTTTGTATTTTTCTAACATTTTTTGTATTTTAGAAGGGGATATTTATAGAAAAATGAGTATGCTCTTCCTCCCCTTAGTTGGACATCCAAAATGGTAGATAAAAGGGTAAGTTGGCAGCCATCAAATGCCTCATACCTTCAAATTAAACCATGTGTCCCAACTCTAGAATTTTCTAATATTATTCTTTAATTTTGTATCTTATTTAATTAATTTTAGTGGGGTTTGGAAGCTGCATGAAATTGGCCCTAATGTGGGCCCCACAAATGGTCTAGGCCAGCCCAAAAAGATAGCCCACAATCCAAATCAAAATCCCAACCAATTTGAAACTTTATCAGTTGCTATTCACTAGTAACATTTCATAATTTTTTTAGACCTCTAAAAAGTCATTTATCTCCATAATAATTCACCTTTTAATATGATAACATGATATGAAAATTTTCAGAATTTTTTGCCACCTCTAGGTATTTATTTTGAATTTTTCCTGATTAGGCCTTTATCATTGTCACTGCGGGAAAATAAAGTCTCTAAAATTAATTCCTAAGCTTCCAAGGTCTAAAACCAATTTTATAAATTTAAAAAAATATTTAGATGGTTTGTCCATATTTTTTCCAAAATTATTGAGGCCTCTGACTAATTAAAATAATTATTTTTCTCTAATTTTCTAATATTTTCTCCAAAAACGTCTGTTTACGGGAAATTCCATAACAATTTATTTTTACCATAGTTTCACTTTTTGGGTCTCAACTGAGATTTCAAAACCTCTAATTTGTAGTTTCTAGAATTTTACCGTAATTTCTAGAATTTTTCTAGAATTTCAAAACCTTTTGGGTCCATATTTTTACCGTAATTTCTAGAATTTTTCTCAAAATTTTCTGTTTTGCCCTTCTTGGACCAATAAATTTGAAAATGTCGGTCCAGATCCTTTTTGGGTTTCATACCATACTTAGCTTTCTTAGCCAATATTCTTTTCCTACTGGCCATCAATCAAATTTTTCATCCCTTCTATCAATGCTAAATTTGGCGAGATGTGACAATCTAAGGGCTGAAAATTTAAGTGGCAAAGAAAAGAAAATGGAGTTGGCATGAGGACTCCTTTTTTATTAATGATGAATTATGTTCTTGAAACTTGTTTTGTATACTTGGTAAAAGTTATATATGAATGACCTAATGACTATATAGTGGTGTAAAACATAGCTGAGTCGTGTTTATATGCCATTATGTTTGAGTTATGATTATATGATTTGAGAAAAGCGAGAATTCTTGAGAAAAGGCAAAATAAGGGTCTAATTTGTTCACAACATGAATAAGGTAAATGGTGGAGATTGACCATGAATATTGGCAAATTGTTAGATATCATGTTAAGCTTTAAAATGAGTGGTAATTTGTTAAAATCAGAGTTTTGTGCAAAAAGTTGTGCTTTTCCAAAGTTAGGCATAAATTTTGAAAAACTGAAAAATAACCAAATGAATAGTACTACTTTGGCTTAAAACTGGAACTGGATGGTGAGGTAATGAGACAAATGAGTATTTTTTTCCATATAGGCAGTTAATAGAGCTTCAAATAAAACTTGAAATCATTGCTTCTTTTTTTTTACAATTAGTTATAACTTTTCAAAGTTTACCCAAATTTTAAGGGTTACTGTGAATAGTAACTTGAGAATAAGATTTTTGAAAACATGATTTTCTAATCTTGTAGTGAAAAAATATGGTTCCAAACACTTCCGTTTGATGCATTATTGGGTTCAAAGATAAGTGTTACACATTCCACAATATAAGCACAATAATTGTAACCCTTCACAGACGATAGGATGCTCCTTCTTATCAATAATATATGTCGATAGTAAAGCCTTCTTGAGATCTACTTGCACCCCAACCTTTGCATATCCCCCTCTTGACTGTAAGAACGTGGATAAATCCACTTTGACCGTACTGCCAATCTCATTACCTATAGTTTCCAGGATTCCCTTCTCATAGTATTCAAGAGGCAAATCAGGAAATCTTACCCAAATAAGCACCTCCTCAATTACGTCAACTCTAGGAACAAAATTCAGTTTCCATTCTGTAACTATAAGATAACAATCAGAAATCATCCAAAACCCTCCCAACAAAGCAAGCTCAAAATCCTTCACTACTGTGAAATTGACTACAAAGAAGTCATTAGACAAATCCATAATAGAGTCCACACCCGATTTAGCCCACATTTTCTGAATCCTTTGTTCCATCTAAACTAGCCTTAACTTTCTACCCAACAATTTCACAATAAGACTATGCTTAAATGGTTTCCTAAATTTTTGTAGCGCTGAGTCAGAGAAAACAAAGTTAGGGACAAGAAATCTACTTTGCTGATGCTTCAGGATTGTGATATGTGACTTTATATGCTTAAATAGACCATTATCCTTCTTTATCTTGATAGGTCTAGTGCCAATTAACCTTTACAAAGTAATCCCTTTCAACGTATTATACAAGGTGAGCCTTCCCCCCTCCTCCAAAACTGAATTCATCTCATTGGACTTAATCTTCTTCTTGTTTCGCCTAAGAAGATCCATCTCCTCTAGCGAAGTTCACCCTGCTTGATCAACCTTTGGAAAATCCATCCTAGAGAGTGTTGGACAACTTATGCAACTTTTACGACAACCTCTAAGTAGTACTTACAATCAAATCAAAACTTTAAATATAAAGTTAAGCATTGAAATTTAAATGCAATTAAAATATTTTTAATTATTCATTGGTTTTTCGCTATAGTGAAGAATCACAGTTTCCGTGACCTTCATCTCAATAGCACTATCAAAATCACCTCGAATAATAAATATAATAATGTTATAAAATTAAAGAAAGAGTAGAGAAGAAGAGTAGAGAATTAGAGAGAAGAAAAGATAAGAGTATTTTTCAGTCTATTTAAGACACTGAATATATAATACATACTCTTTATTTATAGGCACAACTTTTCATCTTTCACAAAATCTACAGATTACATAATAATAAGATATAACGGTGGATATAGAGATAACGTAAAATATTGTAGAGAACAGAAGAGATATGGATATCAACTCCCCCTTGGATGTCTATTATATGAATGTGTCTCCTTAAAAAACTTCAACTTGGAAAAACTTTATGGGATACAAACCTAGCAATAACAAAAAAAGAATACACCATTTATTGATACACTGTTTAGTGCTGCTTTATTAAAAACCATGCTAAGAAAACTTAATCAGACAAAACCGTAGAGAAGAAAAAAAAAGAGTATAATGTGCATCAACTCCCCTTCTTAGCAACATCAATTGATATCTTCAAGCCTGCATAGTCTAATATCACAGACAAACCTTTCAAATATTATACTAGAACAAATATACATATATTAATTTTATTCTTGTTTTTTCATTTGTCTTCCAAAAATACCATATACCTTGACAAATTTCATTTGTCATTTTTACAAAGGAGGCTACCCCACAAGCTATTATAGTCCAAGAAATATTAAAGTAAAATGATAAGGCCTTAAGGTCCACAAGTATTTCTTTTTGCAAACAAAAAAAGATTTTTGTCTCAAAGGACATTAAAAAATTAACAAGCTGTGAATGGAGCTCCTTCTTCTTCTTTCATCTTCTTTTTATTTTTTTTTGGCAGTGAGATTTTCTTTTGGCTACATGATGAATAATAGATATATAAGTTGAAAAACAATTGTGAAGACATGATGATCCCAACCATTCATTCATTCTAAGCATTGGAGCTCTTGAAGACATATTAGTTTTCTTGAGGTAATTTCAAAAAACTCATTCTTTTTTATATTAAAAATTTTGTAAAAGCATATACTATTACTTGTAAAAGCTTGAATTACTGATTAGTTTTAAATGAAGTTAGAATTTGTGATGTTGCTTTAAATTAAAGGTGAACTAAATTTGGTAAGAGTTTATAATTCTTATTTTTGAATTTAGAGCATTTTTAAAGTTGGGGGCTATATTCTGAGGTGCAGATGACAAAAATATGTAACAGTTAGCCAAAGTACTTTCTACATTTAACAAATGTAGAGAGGATATATGATATGAGGGGATGTATAAATTGGCTAAAAACAAGTATAGGATGGAATGAGACTCCAACAGAACATGCCTCCTATAACTCCAAACACAAGAAACTAAACTGATGATCAAGATAAGACCTTAAGAGAACCTATCTCTTACAACCCTAACCATGAAGATACTATAAGATTGATTACTCTCTTGATACTTTTGGGTATTCTCATGAGAATAGAAGAATGCAAGCAAGGCCCGCACAAAGAGAAATAAAATTGTCATGTTATTAATTATTCAAATTACCTCTTCCTGAAAAGAGTGCATACTGAATTATTTAGAAGCTCTTGAAAACCCTAAAATGGAAACCCCAATTGGTAACCTAAGCCCTAAAAGCCCATTATAAGTTATGAGAGCCTAAAACGCTAACTAAATAAAATACATCAAAAAGAGATAAGAAAATATAATAAAATTAGGAAAATCAAAAGACTTTCTAGAATACTCTAACTTGCTAGTCAAGATAGAATAATCTAGATCACTTACTACCTAAAAGGATCCCATCATTAATGAGAAGGGTCTTATTTGAACAACTCTACTAATTAATAAAATATAGAATGGTAAGTCTGTCTTCAAAAAGTAATCAAAATAGAAGAGGAAACTATAAAAATAAGAAACTAATTGAAACAAACAAAATCCTAATTAATGTCATATAAGATCACTCTTGATGCTTCTTAAATCTTCTTGGACCTCCCAAACGGATCTTCATAAATGCTATTCAAGTCCATAAGCATGTGTGGGCCTTTTAGACATCTCTTTTGGCTATATGGTTGAATCACATTCTGAAACTCTCATGATCCATAACAAAATGTATTTGTAAAAGATTATGGCTCCAATGGACTCCTACACGCACATATTTGGGCCTTCAATAATATAAAAACTGGTTCAAATTCTCCTTTTGGACTCTTGGAACATGCTCCTGTATTTCTTAAGATTCAAGTATTCATACACTAGTGATTCACTTGCTATGATGGCTTTAGGGGTGGTCTGTAATGTGCCCACTCAAGCTCTGTGCATGTAATTACCAACATCCATGCTATCTTCCAAGCAATGATCTATGTCCTCCTATATGTAAGTATTCTTGAGCTAGAAACCCCTTGAATACTTTGGAGGGTTTATTGGGTCTCTAACTGAATGAGCATTTCTTGGGGTTCAGAACTTCCATATTGAACACTTATTGGTATGCTATCAACACATTAAGTTGTATATGTTTATCCTTTATACAACTCTCTAATATTAGATACTTTATTTTACCCATTTATTCGTCAATTTGATTATATATCTTGTATATTGGTTGTATATTGTTACATTTTACTTTTAAATCTTATTTTATCTCAATTGGAACCATTTGGAATCATTTCTTATGGTCTTAAGTTAGAAAATTTGAACCTTAAGTTTTCTTAAATTTAGGTTATTCATTATAACTCTTATAAAGGCCAAACTTTAAAAACTCATAACTAATTTTTAAAAAAAAATCAAAATGAGATGGTTTCAAGCTCTATAGAAAGCTCTTGACATGCTCCTTAAAGAAAAAGTACTCATTGGCATCTAGAACTCATCCATTAATCCTAGATTTTATTCAAAGTGGTACTATTCATGGGGTCATTTTTCAATTTCCTAGAATTTATGCCCAACTTTGGAAGGGCATAACATTTTGTTCAAAACTCTAAATTTAATGAAATACCACTTGTTTTAAAGCTAAAAATATAATCTATAAGTCTATCAAGTTTTATTCAAAATCTCATCCAATTGCACAAAATTTCATTGGTCAAATTTCACCATTAAAAAGTCAACTTTATCACTTTTTGTATGCAATTCTTGCTTTTTTTTTTTCCCCCCTTCCATATGATCATTCCAATTACATAACTCATGCTTGAACATGATTCTTTAATTAATACCCACAAAATTTGAACATAGTTGACAATAATACATAACAATTCATAATAATTACAAAACATAATTTCAATGACATCAAACTCAATCATCTTCCAATGTGATTTCCTTTCCTTTCTTCTTGCTTGATCCTACCCCTAGTTTGTGAATATTTGAACATAGAGGAGTGAGATTTTATAGAAATCTCAATAGCAAGAATTACAATCATAACGTTAAACATGTAAGGTATGTTACATATAGATTCATGAATATTCTATACCATGCAAGTATAATCAAAATTCATTCATAAAGAATATATTGATGTATGTTACCAAGGAATACAATGCAATCGACTAACATATTATTTTCATCAAATACCCTCAAACATAACATAGTATATATTCAAGTAATCATATTATGCAACAACCAAGCAAGTTAACATTATAAATTGTAAATTCCATGCTACCTCTTTTTAATCCACAATTTTGGCCTCCTTGACTTCTTTGGATTCCTCCTTGTTCTCTTGCACAATGCCTATCAATTCATGCATAAACAAGTCCTAAATTACCAATAATCCAAGCATAAATATTAATGTTCAACCTAGAATTCAATTAAATCCCTTTTTCCTTGATTTTTGACGTAATCAATTTCTCTTTGTTTCTATCATTCTCTTGGTCCATTCCTACTCAATTTTTCATATAGAATCCAAATATAAAATTAGATTTTACAAAATCAAACTCTTTCCCCTTCAATTCACTTTGGATGAATTATGTAGGTTTAGGTTCTAAAATTTTGATTTTTGATTCTAATAATTTTAAACACTTTTCTTTGGTGTTTCCCTGCACAAAAACATCATTTAAACTCATTGGAATCATCAAATCACATTGAAACAATCTCTAACCCCAATTTTGCATAGTGACTGCATAGGGTATTACAAACCGTAACTTTGGTTTCTTCCAAAATTCAATCCATACATCAATTAAATATGTAATTCCAAGTCTATATTCATTGTTTCTATCCTTCCCTAAACCATAATCAATCAGGCAGAAATGTTACAGTATGACATCATAGAATTTTTCATGAAAAATCAATCAAAACAACCCTTAAATCTAACCAAAATCAAGTTTAGACATACCTTAATGGATCCTAACTTGAAGCTTGATGATTTTTCTTGAATTTGGAGGGTGTTAGGTACTGTTTAGAGTGAAGTTTTAAGTTTGGTGGAATTTTCCCCTATTTTCTTTATTTTGTCTGAATTATGCTTAATGTGAGGGGGCATTTATAGACCAACA